AAACATTTACTCCAATAATAATTTCCATCAAAATAATCGATAATTAAATAAAAAGACTCTTTTATCCCATCATTTGCTTTGAAATAATCGTTACTTTAGAACCTGAGGTAGAAATTGATTCCCAGATAATAGTGTCGTTTAAATTGAATTTTTCCAATCAATTGTTTTGCTTTTGTATGAAAACATGACTTCAAAACTCCTAATAAATTATAATTCATTAGAAATCATATTTGTTCACAAATTGATTGTATGAACACTTTGTGCCCTAAAATTAAATAATATTTTTAAATTCAAATTAAGACAACAAACTATATCCGAGAAGTCGAAACTTAAAAAACTATAAATAATAATAAAAAGTATTAAATATTAATTAAGGACTAAATATAGTGACAAAAACTTCCGATAAATAATAATAAGACTTTTGTTTTGCGAGATTAAATCAAAAGTGAAAACTAATTTTCAGTACAATTAAACTAAACCACTATTGTTTGACAACTCTAAGCAATTATATGTATAAATGAATCAAAAAATAGTGACAATAAGAGACAAAGAGTGAGTGAAATGACAAATTAATAATAAATAGAAAACTAATTGTAATTATAAATAAATAAATCGATTAAATGGTTGGTTAGTGTCGTTGAAAGAACTGAGTAATTGAATAGACGTCTCAAGTGTTGGGGAGATGTGGTGTCAGTGTCTCTCATTTCACTCTTGCAATGGCTTTCATGTGTCAACCATTTGATAGCATTCAAAGTCTCTTCAGAATCTTCGAGATTAAGAATTGAAACGAAAGACAAACACAATAGTCTTGAATATAAAAAATCCTCAAAAATGCATCCATTTATGGCATGAATTGGATTCAAATAGTGATGTATTTTTTATAGTCCTCTTGTTTTTCCAAAAAAGTTGATAATAAAGTAAAATATTTATCGGAATAATAATTAACAGTTCATTAGTAGAAAGAGAGAGAATGTGTGATAATATAGTCGTGAATAGAATATCCATTAATGGCAGTGCTCTTCAACTCAAATGTTTTAAATATTTGTAATAATTAGTGAATCGTTTGTTTCGATGAAATTTATTCCTAATATAAATGGCAGTCGTTTTCCAAAGTTATATCACTTTTTAATTGTTTTATAAATTCAAATATTTTTCGCTCTCTTTTGATCTCATATTTTCTTATTTGTTGTCTTCAATTGTTGTAAAACTCTTTGAATTTGAACGAAATTTGTTTGCATATGATTCATATGATTTGAAAAATGAAGGACTTCTCAGATTATCCTCTTCTCGATTGGTCTATCATTCAAATCATTTGGTTTTGTGATGAATACGAGTCCTTCAATGAATGTTTGTCTTTAAAATACCACTTAAAGGGTTACACTTAGGTTTGCAGACAAATATTTTCTAGGCATTGGAAGTGTTGTTAAAATGGACATCAAATCCAAAACTCGGATCTTCGGCTCAAAAACATGTTTTCAAATATCGATCACAAAATTGATTATCGAAGACATGTCTAATAATAGTCGACATTTTGGTCATAATATATCGAAAGTGTTTTTGAGTCAATAGTTTTGGTCCAATGTATAGCTGCTATTAAAAGGCACTTAAAAGACAAACACAGTTGGAGTCGGAATTGATTTGTGTTTCATTGATATTAATTGTAATTCTAGTAAATAGTTATAAACTTTGATATAAACTTTTTAAAAGTTGTTTCCAAAAAACGATTTCTTCCCAATTATTAAGAGTTTTTCATATCATTTCGTGTAAATAATTGTAACAAAAAATTCTTCATATAAAAGGAGCAAAAAATTATTCGCAAATAAAAAACACTTGATTTGTGAAAGTCTTTTCAGTTCAATCGATGGGGTATTTCTCTTCAGTCAGTCAATCAATCAATTTATAAATTACTTAATAATGAAAAATTTCATTTTAAAAATGAGTTGTGATTAGAAAGTACTAATAAAATGAAGACATAATTATTAAATATAATATGTTTTTTGTAAATATTTGTTATAAATATTCATAATAATAATCAATAATAAAAGGAATGAACACATCATTGAAATCATTGAATTAGTTGGCAGTGAAAGGCGTGTTGAGCGTCGTTTCAATCAAATTAATCATAAAATTCGTTATTATATTCAATAAAACATTATTATTATTAGTATTTACTTAATCTTCTCTCTTATATTAAATTTTCTTCTATTTTTGCGATTAAAAACCAATTAATATCTCATTTGCGGCGCTGTTTTATCTTTGGTTTGCGTTCAAATCCATTGGTCTCTTCAATGAGTTGTGCCAAACACTCGGCAGGTATTGTCGACACCGGAACCGCTTTCGTCTGCATCTCTGGGACCTGCGTCTCGGGAACCCATATGTCGGGCAATCTGTCGGACATAACAGCAACACATCAATATTATTGACATTTAATGCCATTTACTAATCAATAGCCAGGTTTATCTCAAATGCAAACACATTTCGCATACGACACGAAATTTGAGTACTGTTTTCAATATCATATTTCTAATGATATCATTGACTTTCGTTTGCAGAACTCTTTTTATTAATGAGTTTTGCAACGAAACTCATTATTCAAATCAAAACACAAACATTTTAATCAGTGTTTTGCTGCGAAAATATGGGATCAAAGTTAAAGAAAGTGTAACCGAAGAGCACTTACATGTTATTTGGTTCCCATTTTAACAGTACATTCACTTCTCCGCTATCGTTCTCACGACGAGCGATGACCTATTGGTTGCAAATCATATGAATAATACATTTAATCATAAGTCATAAAAATTGATTTCAATTTCTGTACATAAAATGAGTGCAAATCACGGCAAATATAAAAACTAATGATTTATTGAATTATATGGTTTATCGTTATTAACTGCAGTCATGAATATTCACAACACTATTGCTATATTTAAGGCACACTTTTTCGCTAATCCTTTCGTTCAATAATATTTAATTAAAAATATTTGTGTCAAAAACATTAGCGTTTAGGCAAACAATGGGATCAAATGATATGGAAACTATAAAAACTAAATAAAAGATATGATATAAAAATACATACTTTGCTATGGAATGTAATTGTGGCGCGATTTCCACTGATATCGAGACCTGTCTTATGGTTCAATTGAATCAAACCATATCGGAGGCGCTCCATAACGCACTCGTCGAAGAAGTCTTCACTACATTTCACTAAATAAGACAATGAAACCAATTAACACATACAGTAATTACTTATGATTGCTGTGACAACAGACCATAAAAACACTTTCTCTTGAGTTTTGTCGCCGATTTCTTGCGCTTAAGTATTTTGTTTGGCGTTCCGTTGGGTCCACAGAAATGGTGACAATTATTAGAGTCCATTGCCGTCGACTTGCACCTGACGGCCGACATCGTGGCGCAGGAGGTCTGCTGGAGGTGGAGCTCGAATGGACTCAAGCCTTGCATCGATTGCAGACACGAATTAATATCACTATTAGAAGCACAACAAACGCTGGATCCGTTTGCCGAGCCGTTTGGACAACAGTTGGTCA